CCAACTCAGAGAGGCAGTGAAGGACAGGAAGGCCTGGCGCAATATGGTTCATGGGGTCATGGACACAACTTAATGACTGAACAACAACAACAAAGGAGAAACCCTAAAACAGACATTTGAGGACTTTCCTGGGCCTGATATTTTTTATTAAATATCCCCATCAACAATACTGTAACTACTGTTATTTATAATTGTTAAAAATAGATGAATGCCTTACAGCCATTAGTCTGTTTTCCTAGGAGAAACTTCATTTCTCGATTCCTGCTTCCTTTCTCCCTTGCCATTAAAACATTGGTTCCCTCTTCTCTTAGTTATTGATTAGGACCACATTTCATAACAAATGTCATAGTACAGGATTTTCATTAAGACATTTCACTGGACTTACTGATTTGAAGCCATGATGACAGGCAAGGTTCTAAGAGTTCCCTGCATTTAATGAATTTCATTTCAAAATAGAACATTTACTTGCACTTGGCCCCATATCAGTGTATTCATTTATTTTTGCAAACTACAAAAATATGCACAGAAATATATGTAGTCAGCTGCCTAGACTCTGTGTGTTGGGGAAAAGAGAAATGCTAGAAACTTTCAGTCTTTATATGAAGGAAGGACAAATATCTGCTTGTTATTTCATAGAGTGCTGAAAGCTGGGTCAGGATGAGGGAAAGAATTTATAGCCTGGCAAATAAGAAGCTGAGCTGTTGCCTTTCCTACAACCAGTTAATGGGTAGTTCTGGCTGAACAATTATTAATTGGAGCTCCAAACTTCTAAACATATACTGAAAATGTCTCTACTCTCCAGATGATGAGGGCAAAATGGGGAAAATTCAATTTAGATTTAAAGTGCTGGAAATAATTTGCAGATGGAATGGAGGATGGAGTGGCAAAGCTTTGCATTTGAATGTGGGCCATTTCTGACAGGCACTCACACAATATTTCATGAGTAATTTTTAAGGCATGAGGGCATGGACTTTTTTCCTCCCTTTTCTCATATTTTAAAAATACTTCCATTTAGGAAGCTTGCCACCCAGAAACATGGTTACATTCTCTTGTTCTACTATCTGAATCCATGATATCTTTAACCTTTATGTCCTTCTCTGAATGTCCTCTTCTAGTTATGGCAAAGTTTTACATACTTTAAAATGTTGATGTCTAGATCCATTATTCTCTTAAGAGTCAAGGCCATTGTTCTTTTCTTTTTTCTGTTTCCTTGCATACTGATGCCTCATAAGGATTCTGAACTGTAAGTGATGGTAAATAATAATTGTGTCAGTGGGTGGATGAAACATGCTACCTAATAGAGCTATGCAACTTTAAAAATTATTCAAAACAATGCTTTGGAGTTCTTGTGAGTGCAGCATCTCTCTGCTATTCATTACAACAGCCCATCTTATTTTCAAGGCTTATGCATGAGCCTGAAAAAAGTTTCCGCTGCTTTAAAAGTTGACTCATTAAAGCTAATGTGACTTTTTAAGGATCTGAAACTTTTTTCAGATACTTCTAAAAATAATTCCGAAATCCCATTTACCAAGTAAGTAGCAATACCCCAGAATGACCTTTTTCCAGAATCGTGTACCACTTGCAGATTTTTTTCCTTTGTGGGGTTTGTTTATTTTGAAAGAAATTCTGCAGTTAATATGATTCCCCCCTTAAGAATTTGTCTTTTTCAGACACACTGTGCAGAAGCTCATGATTTTAAACCACTTGTAGAATATTGGCAGTCAGTTGTATGCTAAAATTTTCTTGTGCTTTTTCTCCCAATCATTCTAATTTAGAATGATGGAGAAAACAGGTTTCACTTTTTTTCCCAAAGAGAAGAAAAAGTGAGTGAAAGTCTGACAGATAATGGTAAGAGATGCTTGCTCTTACTTTAGTTAAGGGATGAGGATCTCTTTCATTGTGCAAAAACTCCTCTAGCAATCTGCATCCTTTTTGGCTTCCCACAAAGAGGAAAGTACTAGTGCGGGTGTCTTCTTTATCATTTTCACAAGAAAAATAAACTGAAAGTCTGAACATACTGTATATAATGTTAACAAGTTATATTTTCATGTGTATTCACTGAATTTTATGATGTTTACCATGTAAGACTACTAAGGTTCATGTATCCTACCTGTTTCTATGGCTATATAGTTAAAACTTGCTGTAGATGTCGAGAATAGGCAACCTGGACTCCTTCTGCTTTTTGGACTACAGTGCATCTCATTTAAGTTCTAGCCTTTGTGGCCAATAGTAAACTATTAAAGGCCCAAACATTCAGAGGGAGGGCATCAGACCTAATTTCTCTGGTTTGTGTTATCCTTCTGCACTTTGAATCAAATATCAGTGTTTGTACCTTTATTTATTTATCTATTTATTTGCAGTAGATGACCTTTGCTGGGTAGCTTATAAAATTGAGCTTCCTATATTGTTTTTTCCTCTCATTTGTATTCCCTGCTTAGTGGAATATTTGTTTCTTTGCATAATCAACATTATATATGGAAAGACTCCTGTGTTTGATCAAAATATCAGCATTAGTTTTGTTTTCTTATCTTTGCTGCTTGTTTTTCCAAAGGGTTTGAAGTAGCCTTTGTGGCTCCGCAGGCTGGGCTGGAGTCAAAGTGCCGCCTGAAAAGAAGACCTCATGGATGTAAGTGTCTAGTTGTTACCTTTCTTTCCACAAAACCAGGGCATATAAAATATGCTTTGGTGTCCCTCAAAATGCCTTATTGTATCTAGATTATTGCTTTGAAGCACAGGCTATTTCCATGCACCACTAATATGGAAACATTATTGGTCTGTAATGTTGCTATGGATACTCTGGGAATATTTGTGGTGTTGCTATACTATCATTTGTTGCTGCTAGTTTTTGAAATAGTTTTCTTCTGGGGATGCATAAAATCAAACTTCCGTAAGTCATTATAGCACTAGAGCTAAATTGCTATTATCATGGCATGGCCAAATTGCTCTGAGTTGGAGACACTCGAAGGTATTCTGAGCAGCATTTGGCACACTTGTACAAGAAAGCTTGTACTCAGACCCATAAGGGTTGGTTAGGAATACTTGTCAGTTACTTATGAAATAGCTGTGCTTGCCTATTGTGCTCCTCCAATAAAATGCAATCAAGCAGTGAAAGCACCATGTATGAATCACTTCTATAATTGTAGAGGGATCTCTTCCTTCCCAGAAATACACTGAGCATTTTTCTCCAGGAAATGTTTGCCACCTCTAGCGTAAGGACTAAGTTTAGTTATCACAAATATTAAGCAAAAGATAAAATAAAATAAAAAGGAGGGGGAAAAAAAGAAGCATTCTCTTGAATAGAATAGAATAGAATAGAATAGAATAGAATAGAATAGAATAGAATAGAATAGAATAGAATAGAATAGAATAGAATAATGCTGACAAAATTATTATCATTTTCTCCATAAGAACAAATGCAATTTATGAAAATCAGCAAATATCTTTACATTTTTAATCATAGTTTTTAAGAGAAATATTCAGTTTGACTGAACTATATGAAATAATGCCTTAGAGAAATATATGGAGAAATAATGTAATGCCCTTTGCTGTAAAGTGTTACATACTCAGGTATGCATGTATGTGTTATTGAACTAATGAACTTTTAAAGACAGTTTTTCTGGGAAAAAATATGGCTCCCAAACTGGACATCTAAAGTGAAACTCTTGTCTATGAAAACTGTGAGTGTTGCCTAATAATGCATTTCAGCAGTGGTAATATGTGCAGTATTTCCTACCCTGGTGCTGAATTTGATGTAGAAATAATTAAATGAAACCAACTTTCCCTTACACAGTTTGTCATATTCCACATGCTGATTCCACTCACTTGAGTTAAATAGAATGAATTTGGACTGGATTACTTAAGCATTTTAGGCACATACACTTTATAATATATGCAAGTACATATTTTGAGTTAGAAGCTACATTCAACGTTCAGAATCATATTAGGAAGAAATGAGGAAGCATAGGGTAGAAAAGTAGTTGGGACAATAAATGGCCATCTTTAAAAACATGGCAAATAATAATTACAATCAAAATAATTACTCTCATCAGTTATTCTCTTCATTATTATATTAGGAATATAATCTTTATGACTACTATCACTGCCATCACCACCACCACCATTATCACCACTGTTGTGGCTTTCTGGAGTTCCCAGCAAATATACACATTTGGACACACTTTGGTAAGTTTTACTTTGTGATCCAAACAGTAATTCCTCCTGTAAACCAAGTATAGGAGAAAACACTCAAATCCATACCCAAGTGCTCTGAAACAGCATCTATTCTTCTAACATGAATTTAGACCTAAGCATAGTGTTCTTATCTTACAGGAACAACATATATTCAGGCAGCTTCCCTTCCCACCCTTTCTTGTCTATTCATGTGTCCATGGAGGTGGGGATGGCAGGAGGAGTGATTAAATGTGCAACAGTGGAGGCAAGGGTGGGAAGAGAAATTTTCAAAACAGTTACAAGTATCTTAGTTATAGGCATGTTTCTATTAAACAACGTTTAATGTTTTAAACATTGAGCAGAAACTGGAAGTGAAGATAGATAGACTTCTGGACTATGACGAACATGTTTACTCTGTTTTGAAGATAACTTGAAATACAGCAAGTGTAGTCAACGTACTTTAATTCTGTGTTACATTATGTCTACCTTTATTCTACATTGCTGTTATCTAATTTATTTTCCTGACATAGCTGCATGATGTAGTGCTCTGAATGGATTGATTTTCTGATGATAAGTTAGTAAATTTTTTTCTGAGATACCAACTGGGTTTGGGGTGCTTATTTTTCTGTTGTACTACTTACTACTGTTACTATCCTTATTCCGAAGAACATATTATTGTTACCTGACTTATCTATATCCTATTATTTTACCAGTTGAATAACAAAGTTACAGATTACTCCATCCTGGATGAATAAAATATTAATTGATTCACCTTACATACCTCATTTTATTTATTTCAGACAGCCATTCAACAACAATCATACCACCTACCACCACAACAACCAGATTTGACTTTAAGCTCAGATTTAAGACAATTGAACTTTTCTCTCATGATGGGCTATATAACAAAATATCACTATTTTCAAACCAAGTAACATACTTGTTTTCAAACAAGTAATATATTTCTGGGAGAATGCTATTTCATATCATCCAAAAACAGTGCACTTATTTTTATCCTGTTTTGCATTTATTTTATGTAGAGAATAAATTATTACTGTTGTTGCTATTTTAATAGATATGACCAATTATATTTTTCATGCTAGTCTGGAGATTCCATTGAATTGGACCTATCTTGGAATGGCACGCATTTTTAATTATCTGGATAAGGCTCAGCTCAGCTAATCTTTGCATAGCTCTAATTTGTACCCATCAGGAGTGTCAATATCTTTTTATCCTCCTCCTCCTCTTCTTTCTCCTTGTTATAATAATAGAAAAGCAAAGTTACCATTTACAAGAAGCATATCAGAATCCTCATGTTTCTTTAGGGCTAATGTCATTTCTTAGTAGAAGAGCTATTTTTTCCCTCTTTTGGAAATATTACTATAACAATACTCCCAGATTAATAAATACCACTGATACATGGCTTATAGTATATCTTAAGGACTTTTGAGTGAAGTCACAAATGACATTTTTTACTTAGCTTAAGTAGTTGTTTACCGATGAGACGATGACTTGACTTTATTTTAAATAATACATTAGCAAAAATCTTCCTTGCACAGATATTTCAGCTCCTTGACTACCTGTGCATTAGTTTTCCCAAAGGAACCAGGATTCCCTGTTCTCTTGCTTTTCACAGAAATTACAAGCTTTTAAAGAAAAGAAGAAAAGAACCATGTTGTTCAATTTGTCTCTGTTTCTCTAACAGGCATATTTTCAAATCAACCCATGTACCTTTCCTATATTTTCTAATTAGAATCCTGAGAAGGGCTGGGAAACACTTTTATAAGAAATGTTTCTTTGTATTGTATTCTATTTCTTTAAATAAATAAGATAATCTGTCTCTGCTATTACAACTTGAATTCATATCCTAGTCAATCACCTTAATATATCAATTCAAATTTTAGTTTTGGCAGTTGATCTAGTATTCCAGAGAAACAATATTCCCACCCCCTCCTCCCCCTTTTTTTGGTGTATATATTACTATTTGCGTTGACACTGTTTTTTGAATAGATTTAACGTGCACAATTAAAGAAGTGTAGTGGGTTTTATTTTAATTACAAAATATGTAAGTACCATATTTCCCTTTCATCTGCTGGGAATCCTGCTCATTTCATTTCAACAGCATAGTAGTCCCCAGTCAATTTTCCATCATGCAACTGGCCAGTTTACCAATAGTGAGATTCAAGGCAACCTAGCAAGACAATTGTATAAAATACAGACATGCTTTCCTAGCTGCTATGCATATCAATGAAAGAGGTTAGCTGAGCAGCTGCATTATTTCGACCTAAATGTCACCAGGACTACCAGATAAGAAATGCCTGGCTTGGTAGAGAAAAACATGTTTACACCAGACAGCTAGCAGAAAATCTCTATCTACATTTCCCAGAACCATATTAACCTTAAGAATTGGAAGGAGTCAACTAACAATTAACTAATAATGTTGACTGTCCTCAAGATGGAAGGGTCTTCTGTGGGTGCTGTCACTATTGTCTGTATTTAGCAATTTTACACATTTCTCGGTATGCTAATAACACTGAACATAAGTGCTCATGAAGTGCTGTTTCTCACTGTAAAATGAATGGTCTTGTTTGACAGATCCAGTGGCATACTGAATGAATAAATCAACAGAAAAGTAAATACACTTGGAAGAAATACAATAGCATATCAAATTGTAGATCTTTTTGTAGTAGTAGCTTGGATAAGAAAAAATAAATGATAACACTACATCCTGTATAGCAAATTGTTTTTGGTGAGGCTTTCTGCCAAAATAGTTACTCTGCCTTCCCCTAAAAGATCTTTGAAAATAGAACAATGAAAGCATTTTGTACGTATTTTGCCACCCATGAAACACTGAGGAAGAAAAAAAATATATAGTAAAGAAAAGAAATTTATTATACTTTATGAACATCCTTACTTCATTTTAATTGCATGTTTGCATGTCTACAAAAACAAAACAAAACTTCTGAGTAGCAGAAGTGCTAAGCACATGTAACCACAGGGGAAGGGTGTGTCAAAAATGTCAGGATGAAGGCTGCAACTATGAGATTGAAGCTTATTTCCTTTTTATTCGTTGTTATATGAAATGTTTAAAAAAGGGACAGTGTTTCAGTTGCACAACTGCAACACCCTACTGTTTGCAAGACCCATGAAATAATAACATGCAAGTGAAGTGTACAATCTGGGAAATAGGGTCATAAAAGACCTCTTCCTAAGACAAGAACTAGCTGCCCTTAAACTCTATAGAGTTTGCAGAGTTTCAAAAGAGACCATCTTTACTGCATTTTCAGATGAACTAATATGGACTCATAAATAAGCCAACTCAGTTCTTAAAAAGAGACAATGTCATGTGATCATAAGATTTTGTGTGGAGATGATCTGAGTCAAACCACAAATTGCAACATTTTTCTGTTAAAATTTCCAAGAATATTCATATACATTCACACACATACTTTTACTTTTTTGGTATATCATGATAATCATCTAGGGTTTGCTATAATTTTCAAATAGCTGAGTGTCTTTAGAGAGGCAGCATGTAAATTATTTGGGTGATGTTCAGGACAAACACAGGGTAAATGTTGATCCCATTAACATTTAATGCTCTTCTTCCTTCCTGCTGAAACTTTCATTTCTATATTCCCTACAGAGATGAAAGCAAAGTCTTTTCAAAAGTCTTTTTATTCTTTTTTACAGCAAGATCTTTGCAATAACATTTTGTGTATTGGCTACCAAGGCCTCATTTTTCTTAAAACAAAATGATCCATCTGGTTTGAGCTGCCAAATAAGTATAAGTTACAAGGTTTACAAATTCCTTTTCTAATCAATGCATTTCAAAATTAAAAATCTTCAATATAGACATGCAAATGACTTTGACTCATTCTCCTACTGCTTAAATAAAAGCTTAACAGAGAATGAAATATATAGATAGAATCCTATATCTTTGTTTGAATCATGGTTTGAATCATGAATCTATAGCTGAAAAATACACATTAGATCTGACTTAAAATCCAAGAAGCCCTTGTTGGTTAATCAGCTAACATTTGCACTGTGCATATTTTGCAGATTTGCTCTACTCAGTCCTATATTTGAGCAATGGTGGCCAAATGAGAAAAAGATGACTAATTAACACCTTGCACTAGGGAGGTAGAATTATGTTGCAATTAAATATCTATGATATTTGAAATCTGGATGGGTTGAGGAACATGGTAAAATTACTGCAATTGTAAATGTAAGCATACTTATTATTATTTCATTTTTAAAAAGCCTTTTTTTACTTAAAAATATTACAACAGCAAAATATGTAATAAAATAAATACCTTTATACACTGAATTCAGTATATTAGGTTCACTTATGTAGCCAGTATAGAACATATAATCTCAACTCACTGTACTAATGAAAGGTCTAGAATAAGGGAAATCATTTCAAATTGGGCAATTGAATCATTTTTTCCAAGCAATTTCTTTCAGTTTTTTAAACAGTATTTCTATGTTAGCAATGCCAGTTTTATAAAGCATCATTTTTCTGAATGAATTAAGAGAAAACATAGCTAAAATAGTTTTAAAAATTGCCAAAGGAAGACTTTAATTTTTAATATATTTAACATTTTAAAAAATGTGCTGATTAATTCTCATTTTAGTCTGTTAAATATAATTAATCAATTTAAATAATATATTAGGCAATTAACTGATTATATTAATTGATTATGCTAAACAAAGCTATCACTGTGATTAGTTGGAAACTACAAGAGAAAACAAGACAGATAATGGTAAAAGAAATTTGTACTGAATGAGTTCCAGCATCTGACCTACTGGGTAAGGGGTGGGGCCTGAGGCAGTGGGAAGAACCACCTGCTATCTATCAATGTAATTACATTTCCAGATGCTCTGGACCCAACTCTACTAGAATGATCCAGGATCTGTTTTGTTAGATCAAATAGCATTGGCCAGTCTTGGAAATACCTTTAGAAGCAGATGCATGCTTTTTTTTGTTTATTTTTGTTTTTTGTTTTGTTTTT